AGCATGAACGGGGGAGGGGCAGAGAGAGAGGGAGACACAGAATCGGAAGCAGGCTCCAGGCTCTGAGCCATCAGCCCAGAGCCCGACGCGGGGCTCGAACTCGCGGACCGCGAGATGGTGACCTGAGCTGAAGTCGGACGCTTAACCGACTGAGCCACTCAGGCGCCCCCAAAGTATATTCTTATATACAAATGGAAAATTTAGATTATCCAATTCTATGAAAAATTTCAAGGATTCTTACCTCGACCTAACACACAAATTGCCATCAAGTTTGATGAATAATAAGTAGAATGGAATTTCAGTAGTTCTTGCCTTACATCAATGCCTTCTTGGTTTGGTCTAGTCTCCAAAGTATATTTGTTTCCTGAAAAGGAAGAAAAACATTTCTTAGAAAAGGAAAAATACATGGACTTTAAAGTTATATTACTCACATTGCTGTAAAGTAAACTTAAAAAACAAGAGTTCAAACTAACAGACATAATGATTAGTTAATATGCCTGAAAGTAAGCTGGATAAATAGGATAGAATAGTACAAATTAGTAACATTTTAAACTATAGAGAGTTTTCCCTCAGGAACTTAAAGTGCTTTATGAAAATTATACACCTTAAAATCCCTATGAGATAGTAGATATTATGAACACTCATAAGACAAAATGAGATCTACATGGCCTCCATTCACACTTACTTTAATTTTCAATTCCCTATGTACTCCATAATTAATTGAAGAGAGTCCTTGAGGGATCTTTTCGGAACTTACCAAGTTACTTGTGGAAAGAAATGTACTATTCTTGGCTGAAGCATTAAATTTGTGATGCGAATTCTCATGGATTTGATCTAGACTGGTAAAAATAGGATGCAATGCTATTTTTGTAAGTCTCAAGCAATGTATATAGTGTACCACTATGAGATCTCATGAAATTTAATAACTAACTCAATTAGGGTGAAGCATGCAAGTCAAAAGCAAATGGTCACAATCTGTAAGCACTACCTTTCTCACAAAAATCTTGCAATTTAGGGACAGAGAGACAGAATTCTAATGACTGCTGTCTCCCCCAAAATGGCACCTTGACTAGAAATATCCTCAAATCCTAAAATATCCTAAAAATCCTAAATAGCTTTTATTTATTTTCATCTGCAGAGATGAAACTATGGCAGAACACATTCTTTATATGTCCCCTCCCCCCAATTGGGTCATTAGAATGGCTGCTGAATTGGCATCTGAAGAGTCCCTCTCCTCCTGAATCTGGGTATCTAGAGAGAGCCACCAGATGGCGTTCCTAAATCCATTGTTTAGCACTGTACAGCTGCATAGTCCTGAGCCAAGATTCATGCCTGAATGCTTGAATCAACAGATCTAGTGGAGAGTGTGTGCAAACAACAGCCTAGCAGGAGCTCATTAACCTTTTTCTAGTCACAAAAGGATCAGATATGCTCATATTCACTAGTAGTAGCTTGCTGGTCAAGTTTTCAGGTTCTTAACAAATCCTCTCAAGTTCACACTAAAGATGTGTTCTACTTGGGGTCCTGAGACATCCCTTCACTTTACCTGAGGGATTCAGGTGTTTTTAAAAGTATTCAGAAGAAAAAGCACTTTTTCCTGGGTAATGGTTTGAAGTTCTCTCATATTAAGATAAAACTAGATGGTGCCTTTCTTTTATACTAATAGAAGATTCCAACAGCCTCAATTCCAGAGGGACTACTCCATACAGCTTCTTTAGTCATTTACTCTGCCAAGCTCAGATTCCTACACAATATGTGAACTAAGAATGACAAACTGAAAGACTCAAATCTGGAGAAATTTAGTTTTATTTTAACAGGCTATAAATGTGATAGTGTGAGACCAAAACCAGATTTTTGTCTAAATGTGATCTGATTTGCCTATTCACAATCAGGTCAATATTCTGGGTTAAAACAAAACAAAACAAAACAAAAAACCCTCAAATCAAAGCTTATGAAGACCAAGATCATGGCCCCATTTAGAACTGAAAAGTTCCTTCAGGTTGACCAGCTCTAACACATTCTGCTTGGATTTTAATGTACCTGAATATCCTACCATTCTAGTTCCTGTCCTTTATCTTTAGACCCACTTTAAAAATAGAGGTAAAGTAGGAACATACCCCAAACATAATAAAACACAGATCATGGCAAAACAATGGCAATGCTATATTAAAACGAGTCAAAGAACCACGACAGAATACTAGACAGCAAAGAGAATGAACAATCTACTGTTTATACACAACAGTATGGATTAAGTTCACAACCTTAAGGTTGAATGAAAGAAGCCAGACACAAAGAGGATACACTTTTTCATTTCATTTATACAAAGCAAAAAAACAGACAAAACTAATCTGGGTTATGAGAAGCCAGACAGAGGTTACCCTTAAGGGATGGACAGTGACTACAAAGAGGCAGAAAGACGGCCACTGAGGTGCAGTTAACGTTCTGTTTCTTCACTGCCTGCTGGTTCCATATTGTGCTCAGTTTTTGAAAATTCAAGGGTTCATACATAAGTAATAGCAGTACATTAATTTAACTGATTCTTCAAATAGCAGCAAAGGTAAAAACAGCAATAATTTATCAGAACCACACACACTTTCCTGCAAATTTACTTCAACAAAAGGTTAAAAGAAAAAAAAAGAGCCAAAGAAGCCATTATCAACAACAGTCTAGCTCATCTGAGGTCCAAAATCTTAATGATACAGGATCTCTGACCAAACTGCCAAACAGAAGCTCAATCACATTTGCTCAATCTATTTGCTATAAAGAGATACCATTCTATGAATCTACATACTCATTTCTTTGCTGCCTACATGTTTTCAGTTTTTCTAATATGTGATGACAGTAGGAAATTATGGTCCATTTGGGAACACAGCCCAGATCGCTGTTTCATATCCTTAGAGGTACCTGAATTAGAAACAGGAAGAGGTTCTCCACTATGACTCTCTTGGGATCAGGATAATCAGCTCTCAATCCATTGACAGAGAAACATGGATACCAGGTACACATGAGCCAACCAAAAAATTTTCTTAATAATTTTTAAGAATACATACATACATACAAAGCATTTTATTTGGCAAGTGGCTGAAGAAGATGTCAAAGATTCAAAGCATAAGAAAGAACTGACTGGCATACCATCACTGGCTTGAAGAGAGAGGGGACTACATAGCAGGGAATGCAGGTGATATTTAGGAGCTCGGAGCAGCTGAGCATGGAAATGGTGATCTCAGTCTTATGGCCAAAAGGAACTGAATTTTGCCAATGGTTAAGAATGATGTTGAAAGATGTTTTTCCCCAGAGCCTTCAGAAGGAAACTTTATGTGGTATCTTGGTTACAGCCTTGTGATGCCCTGAGCAGGGAATCCCATGCCATGTCAGACTTCTGACCTACAAAACTGTGAGCTAATAAATGGGCGCTGTTTAAAAACACACACACACACACACACACACACACACACACACACACACACACACACACACCTCTCAAAAACAAATGGGCCAAAGACTCCATCTTGCTATTAAGTTTATTAACCCTTTTATAACAAATCCTTTAAAAGAGTTAACTAAAAACAGGAAGGCTAGCTGGTAGAATTTCTCAAGAAATAGACGACGAAATGACAGGAAAAGCAGGGCATAATGTACAGAACTTCAGAATCAGTCCTTGAATCACCAGGTGAACTCTGTCGGTGTTGGGGCCATGACCCTTAGGTAGCGAGGAACAGGCACTGGCTTTGGTGTTCACAGAGCTCTCATCTAATCCAGCTTCAGCCATCTTCTGGTTGCATGACCTTAAACAAGTCACTTTACTTCTCTTAGGTTCAGTGTCAATTCTGACATTGGTAGGTTTACACCAAATTAGAAAAAAAAAAATGCATGTAGACAAGCTTAAGAGTAATATTTCACATTCAATAAATAGCAAAAATATGAGAGCCTGATGATGTCAAGTGCTGTTTAGGGATGTGGAGAAATGAGAACTCAGCCACTACAAGAGAAAGTGTATTTTAAATCAACCACTATAAGCAACAACTTGACAATATTTATTGAATGTGAAGATGTACATATCCTACTACACAGTAATTCCACTGCTGGACACGTGTACCCTAAAGAACTGTGTGCAAGGACATATGTACAAGAATGCTTATAGCAGCACTATTCCATTAACAGGAAGATAGATAAAAGAGTGATATATTCAGTGAATTTTTCAAATAGCAGCAATAAAAATTTAAAAACTTAACCAGAGGCACATTCACCAATATGAGAACTCTTACAAATATAATGGTGAATGAAAAAATACAAGTGGCAGAGATTACTCACAATAAAATGCCATTTTTGTAAAACTAAAAACTATACAACATATTGCTTAGAGATAAATACATGACTAGAGATATTAAAAAAACAAACAAACAAACATGGTAATAGTAGTCACCAAACAAACTTAAGACAGTAGTTACCTCCCAGAAGCAGGGGGGAAAATGCAAATGAAGAAGGGCACATCACATGCCCAAACTGTATTTGTAACACTCTGCATCTTTAAGCAGTATGTAGGAATGATCTGGTAAATGGTTTTGAACCTACCTCTTTTATGACAGTTAATGAATCTGTAAAAAGTTTAAAGTACTTAAAACTTCATGTATAACAAAATAAACACACAATAAACAACAGCTACTGCTGTTATGATGTGAATTGTAGGAGAGACTCCTGGCTTCTGAGAATATCACAGAAATGGTGGCACCGAAGTAGAGAAGAAAGCTCAGTAAATGGTCTAGATAACTTTCTTCTACCTAAGAATCCATGGTGGAGAACACTGTGAATATGGCTGGGAAAACAAATACCAGTTCAGTCTCTAGACACATACTGTCCTAATTTAGCGCTAACTCAGCTAGGTCATTTGTATCAAACTGAAATGCTGCTACCAAAATCCTGAATCTTACCTTTCTGGCTCTGTTACCATTAACAGTGAGCTCCAGCAGTGGACTGAGGATATCAGGGTTGCTGACTGGAACCCTTCTACTCTGGGCCTGCTGGAGAGAGCACTGGCTTGGCAGCTGGAAGATTCAGGGTTTCTTGTCCTGACTCCATCACATATCAATTAAACAACCTTGGAAAAGTCTCCCAACATCTCCAAGGGGTCATTTATTTGGTCGGCAAAATAGGGCCAACATGGATACAGGCCCAGTTGTTAAGAGCTAGGGCTCAACACCCCCCCACCCCCCGCCCCACCGCCACCTGCATTTCCTAGCTATGAGATACAGGCAAGTTTCTCAACCTTGCTAGGCCCCAGTTTCCTTATTTATAACATAGAATAATAAAAGCACCAACCTCAGAGGATTGCTAGGAGGATTATTTGAATAATAAAGGCTCAGCATA